ACTCACCACTGACTACAAACATAGGCTAGTTTGTCACCTAAGCTATTGTTATCCACATATAAATTAGATCAATCAATTTCCTTTACTCGCAGATGCCAAAAGCTTTCGCAAGTTTGCTGGCCTTGGATTTGAAGTTGTAAAGCACTTAAGTAGTCAGGTCTCTGAAGGAGAGACGTTTTGAACCCCAGTTGAGAGGAAAATGAGAACTTGCATATCAGCTATAAAAATAGCGAGATTAAGCTGCAGTTTGTGCCAAACTTGTGATAAGCATTTCACAAACCCTTTTTTCAGATGAGAAAACTGAAGCATAAAGTCATTAGTTAAAGGTCAGAGATAGAGGAGGTGAGGCACTTGCCTTGCATGCACACAACACTGGTTTGATCCTTGGCACCACATGTTCTTCCATAGCACTGATCAGGGTGCCCCTGAGCACCACAGGATGGGGCCCAAGAACCCAATCCCAACCCCTCAAATGGAAGACCTCCAGTCAGCAAATGATCATTTTAGACTAAAAGTATGAAGCAGATGGTATCTCTGCTCCATCCATTTTCCAATTAGAATCACCACTTTTCTAGTTTGAAAATGAATAGAGACCTGTGTAACAATAGTAGCTGGGAATGATCACGGTGGACAAGATCTGAGGGTTAAGTAGGTAAGGGATATTCTTGATAACCTTTCAGTATCAATATTGCAAACCACAATGCCTAAAACACAGAGAGAGAGAGAGAGAGAGAGAGAGAGAGAGAGAGAGAGAGAGAGAGAAAAGCACCTGTCACAGAGGCAGGCAAGGGGTTGGGGGGGGGGAGGATGGGAGGGAACCTGGGGACACTGGTGCTGGGAAATGTACTCTGGTGGAGGAATGGGTATTGGAATACTGTATGACTGAAATCCAATCACGAATGGCTTTGTAATGGTCTATCTCATGGTGATTCAATAAAAAAGTTAAAAAAAAAAGCACTGTAGCACTGTCCTCTCATTGTTCATCGATTTGCTCGAGCAGACCCAGTAACGTCTCCATTGTGAGATGTGTTGTTACTGTGTTTGGCATATCAAATACATCATGGGTAGCTTGCCAGGCTTTGCCATGTGGGCAAAATACTCTCAGTAGCTTGCCGGGATCTCTGAGAGGGGTGGAGGAATTGAACCCGGGTCAACCTGGTCGGCTACCTACAAAGCAAATGCCCTACCCACTGTGCTATCACTTGTGCACAATAGTCAAGCTGAGTTCGTCTTGATCAATAGCTTTCTGTTAAGGCCTCAGAATGGGAATCTGGAACTTTGAGTTTTCAACTTTACCTTCAGAATTGATGGGCTGATTCTTTTTTTCTCCTTTCTTTCTTTCTTTCTTTCTTTCTTTCTTTCTTTCTTTCTTTCTTTCTTTCTTCTAAAAGTAGTGTTCTATGGAGGCAGTTCAACAGTAACTTTGAACAGAACCAATTGCTCTTTGCTTTTCCCTCTGTAGCTTTTGGGGGAACTGACTATATTACTTGGATTTGACTATTCAAATATATCAATGTATATCTTCCAGGAATCCATGTACTGTTTCTTCTTGGACACAATGCCTAGGTATCTTTGACACGCTTTCCTTTGGTATAGACCCAGTGTGGGAATGTCGGAGACTTCACTCCTCTGTTAATAAATCCTTTTGCTTCAGAACTATGGGGAGGCCTCTGGGGATAGTGTGGGGCAGGGGTGGGCCGCAGAGCAAGTTCGGTGAATGCATAAGAGGGATGTGTGAATTTATCCGCACACCTAGGAATAGAATTATAGGATTAGCTTGTAGGTGTGATGGTAGGTTACTGAACTCCTATAAACTTCATGTATTAATCCTGTCCGGAAGTTTGATAAATAGAAAGTCTACAATAATGATGCTATGTCTTCCTGATCAGTGTCAGTATTTCTTGGCATGTTTGCCACATGATAATTAAAGTACTCTGGCCCTGATCTTATTGTTCTGAAGCATTCTCTTCCTTTGTACACTCTAAATCCTTTCCCGGGTTTGATGAGGTTTAGATAGCAACTCAGTTGAACTGATCTCTTTCCGGGGTTTGTTTCTGCCCCGTGCACAAATTGGCACAGAAGACAAGTTAAGGAAGTGAGACTCACTTCTCGGTATATCCCTTGCCTCCTGGTATTAGACTGTGTCGAAGACCAATAAATTGCTGGGAATGTGCTCAAGCCAGGACCCATCCAGCTCCTGTGGCTCCTGTCCAGAAAAACACTGATAAAAATTAGCCAGTGTAGTTACTACAGGCCCACTGAGGCCCACAATGATTTCCTTCCATTGTTTGCAACTAGGCGCTATTCCTTCAGGAACCAGGAGAGAGGATGAAGATCCACTTAGCTAGAATAAAATACTCTCTGTACTCTCCCTTTGGCAAAGATGCTTTGTAGACACATGAGGGCTTTACTCTGAAAAGTTAGTCCCCTGGATTGGTCCTTCAGGAGGCAGCAGTTGAGGGGTCTACTTTTTTTCTTTCCATAATTGAATCTAAGGGGAATCCTGATGTGCATAGGTATTTCCTACTCCCTGAAGAACTCTGTTGCTTCTTTTGAGGTTGTTGTCTTAGATGTTCTTGGACCGTCACAGGCCACATAACCCAAGCCCCCTTTACAGAAAAGAAATGAAGCCTGGGACCAGAGCAATGATAGAGGACAAGGCACTTGTCTTGCATGCGGCTGATTCAAACCCCAGCACCCCATATGGTCCCTCAAGCCCACCATAAGTAATTATTGAGTGCATAGTCAAGAGTAAGCACTGAGCATCATTGAGTGTGCTCCCCACACACAGACTGGAGGGCGGGAGGGACACCAAAAAGACAAAATGAATGAAACCTGAGATCACACAATTAGTTGCAGGATGAGATGGATGGCAGGTATCCAAACCACTGACCTTTTCTTTAGAGTTGAGCTGTTTGAGAGTCTTAGATTATGCAGCATTGATGGAGGACTTTTTCTTTCCAGGGCTTCACAGTGGGGAGAGGCTTCGGTGGCAAGAAATCCAGCCTTTAATTGTTTGTGGCTTAAGTGACTTTCATTATTGACTCAGTGGTGGCTCATATAATCCTAATAGCTGCTTCCAGGGATCAGTAATTCCTCAATCATTATAGGTGACTTCATTTTTCTCTTCTTCCCCAGCAAGGCCCATCATTTCTGTCTACCACCCATTTCCGTTCTTTGCCTTATTGTCATTTTGTTAGGTCTTGCTTGCAGTAACTTCAGAATCCAACCTTCAGAAAGAAGTTAAAGCCACCAGCCTAACATCCGCTGTTCGTGACATTGCATTGACACTTTAAATGTTCATAGGAAGGATATGGGGATTGCTAGCTGTAAGGGGATATAAAGTTTGAGAGAGATGGTGATTTAAGCATGAAGATCATTGTAAATCAGGTTACTGTTCAGCATTTAGTATTGTTCTCATCTGTAGCATATGTGAAGCATTTTGAGTACATGCCCAGTTCATGTTTTCATGCTACTACTGGGAATGACGAGGCACATCAAGGCTCATTCATGGATGCCCTTGTTGTACCTATATTTTGCCAGTAAAACTACCGTCCCAGCCATTCAGAAGGAAATATAAGACTTAAATTGCAACTTAAGTCTTAAAGATAAGTTTTTAAAGTGACAATAATTTGTGGATCTAAATATAAAAATCATTACCTAATAATCTAGGTATTCTTTAGAAAAGAGAGCCATTTTCTAATTTATCCATTTTAAAAAATTATCAAGTCAAGTTGTTTTAGTTTTTGTTGTTGTTATTGTTTTGGAAGCATACCGAGCAGTACTCAGGTATTGCTCTTGGTGGGCTCTGGGTACCAAACATGAGTCGGCTGCATGCAAGGCCTGTGCCCTATCCATTGTATTATCTCTCTGGCCTCCATAATTATCGGGTTTTAAATAGATACCTTCTGTGTGTCAGGTAATGTTCAGGGATCAAGAATGCATCAGAGAACAACACAGGAAAATGTACCTTTCACCTCTTTCATTGCAAGTTTCTAATATTTTTCATTTATATATCCTACTATTTCAAAAATACTGCAGCACTGTTGTGGTGTCCTATGGGGGGAAAACTCACTTTTTGCACTTAGTCTTTTTTTATAAATTTTTCATGGAGCAATTAGAAATTGGTAATGCTCTTAATAGTAATCCTATAAGAGTAATTTTCAGAATTGTAAAGGAAGAGAACTTGAGGTATTCATATAATTTGATCATTATGATCAAGGAGAAGACAATCATTAAGAAACTTTTGGTTTTGGACTATTCCTGGTAATGTTTAGGGACTTGCTTCTGGCTCTGAGCTCTGAGATCATGCCCGGCAGTGCTGAGAGACCATATGAGCAGCAAACTCCTTAACTCTGTATTATCTCTTCTGCCCCATGTCTGTGATTTTATTTTTTTGTTCTTATTGGGACCTGACTGTTGTTTCTGCTAACAAGTTGGGGCACAGCTTCAGGCTGACACTCCTTCTTTTTTGGGGGGGTGGCGGTCTAAATATTTTATTGTGTACACCTGACCTTTCCTTCTTCAGAATGGGTTCCTGTTTCTTTGTAAGTGCAAGTGTCTTTAGTCATTGTTCCGACACAGCAAAACGTGGTTCAGGATGAGTGCCAAACAAGCATAACTACTAAAATGCATGACATTCTAATTTTGTGAGAACTCAGAACCTGCTATTTCAGAAAGAATGACTGAAGGAGACCAAACATCCTAATGGTGATGTAGGAGATTTCCTATCCAAAGTGTTCCAGAACTGTGGGAATATTTTAGAATACTTCCCACTAGGTTGAATCGTGATGTATGAATTGATGGTTAAAATTTTATGCTGAAGTATCCAAATTTTGATCTTGTCTGTGCAGTTAAACATCTAGTAGTTACCTATAAACTAAGTACCTAATAGTTACCTATAAATGTCACACAGCACTCAAGGAGACTATGTTACTCAGCTACTCATCAGAGAGAGGAGCATCTCAGCTTTGTTAACCTTTTGGGGAATCTCTCCATAGGCAATGGTGGCTTGCTACCCAGGAAATGGAACCGGTTATGTTCGACATGTTGACAACCCCAACGGTGATGGCCGCTGTATCACCTGCATCTACTATTTGAACAAGAATTGGGATGCCAAGGTACTTCTGTGGGAGTAGAGTGTGATAATGAAAATGACAGGAGGTTTAGATGACCATTCAGAATTTATATCTCCTAATGCTGGGGTTTCTCATTCATATTCCTCACCCCCATCCCACTCCCAGTGATTTTAGTATTGAAGTTTATTTATCCTAAAGTTGAGGAGTTGAAAATGATTGCTATAAAGCTAATTTGATGGAAGGGAGGAAACGGGTCTTTATTAGAAGATGGGAGGAAAGGTTGGTGAAGAGAAGGCCATCTATTATTTTCTGATGATTTAAGGGATCAGTTTTTATTTTGAAGCCTAATCCAGAGCTGATGCAACTCTCATTGCAGAATAAGATATACACTTTTCCCTTCTAGCCCTGACATTGAGAGGATTCTTCTTCAAATAGAACTGTAGGATATAAAATCATTTTTGAGAAAGATTTTGATAGTTCTCATTCTCTCTCTCTCTCTCTCTCTCTCTCTCTCTCTCTCTCTCTCTGCAATCACTTTTATTGTTGGCCTCTTCCCATAGTTTAATAGGCTTTATAAAAGCACAAGGCTTTGTGACATATTTTTGTAATTCTGAGCATGCAGATAGATAAAGGTAGGAAGTCTGGTTCTACACTTACAAACATTGTCTGGAATCTGTATGCTTTCTGAAAGTTAGGGCTAACTTAGAAGTTGGAGAGGTTGTGGAACTTTTTAGAACTACTTGTCTTCGAAGTTTCTGTATCCCATTTCCTGTTGTTATGGCCTATACTAATTGTCACAATTGCAAGGGAAATGAAACCTCAGAAACAAGTGAATTAGTTACAAAGCTTGTCTCTTCTGTCTGTTACCATGGATGGAATATATATTTCTCCAATGTCCTGTTCAGTTTTGCAGAGTGGTACAGGCAAGGGAGTGGAATTGCATCACAGCAACAAGAATGCATTGCCTATTAAGATATCATTCACAGGACCAGAGAGACAGTCTGGGGATTAAGGCACTGGCATGACATGCAGCTGACTGGTTTGATTCTTAACACTGCATGGTCCCCCAAGCACCACCAGGTGTGACCCTAGATGTCCCCAAACATTGCTGAGTAATCCCTAGTACCTCCAACTCTGAACAGTACTTGTATGCTCATTCCCTTGCATTGAATCCCTTACCTGATTGGCCAAGAATCATAGCTAGGGCCACCGGATCTCTTGAGTACCCCTTGAGAGATTTCCATGTCCTTCCACACACACAATAAAACCCCAAACTTTAAGAAATAGTCTGACACATATTGTAGTGCCTGTTGTTATTGCCAGGCTTTGTGCTGATGTGTGGAATTCTACCCTTGTATGGGTCATCTAGTAATACATGAGCTATACATGTCGAAAGAAAAAAGAAATTCAAACAAGAAAGTGAAAGATGTAATAAAAGGTACACATGGGATGACATAAGAGGTCAGAAAGAAGAACATGCCACTTCTAACCAGCCACTTCATGTCACTTCTAACCACTTCTAAGGTGAGAAGACTAGGGACATTCAGAAGAAAGCCACAAATTCTAAATGAAGAGAAAATCCTCCTCGATAACTAATAATATCAGATTTAACCATAAAGAATCTGAAGGTTTGGAAGTATAGGTTGAGATGAGTCAAACACTGGCAGTTGTGCACAATTCAGTCAGAGTGTCCTTCATTTTGTGTTCGTGGGTTCCATGGCAATGGGGAGTGAGAAATTTGGCATGAGGAAATTGAAGAGCTATTTCAGTTGAGATAAAGCGTAGTATACAGGATAAGGTTGTAGTAAAAATGTGGATGGAATTTCTGCTTGGAAGATAAGTTGAAACATGGCTTTGTTTCTACAGTAGCCTGAAATACTAAAGATTAATAGATCAGAAAATAATTTGTCTTCTTGCTCTCCCTCAGCTACATGGTGGGGTCCTACGGATATTTCCAGAAGGGAAATCATTTATAGCAGATGTGGAACCCATTTTTGACAGACTCCTGTTCTTCTGGTCAGACCGCAGGAACCCACATGAAGTTCAGCCTTCCTATGCCACCAGGTAACTGCCATGGCCATAATTTCTTTTGGGGAGCTTCTTGTATAAACCCATTCCCAAAGAATTCTCTAAAATCTTGTTAGGCTGAGGCTATAGAATTCTGGCTGTACATATAAGGCATTCTGTCTGCCTCCCACTGAATGAGTTGTTGGGTCAATTGTAAGCAGAGAAAAAACTTTAAGAGATACAGTAGGGGGTGACCAGAGAGATGGTTACTTAAACACTGCTGGTTTGATTCTCCCCTTGCCCCCACCTCATGATCCCCAAGTAATGGCAGGAGTGATCCTGAACAGGGAGGCAGGAATAAGTCCTGAGTACTGCCAGATGTGGCATCAAAACCTCACCTCCTGAAAAAAAATAAAGAAAATGAGTTTGTTCTGACTTTTCATTTTTACCTTTTCTTTTCTTTTTTTTGTATGAATCACGATGAGGTACAGTTACAGACTTAAGAACTTTCGTGATTACATTTCAGTCATAAAATGATTGAGTACCCGTCCCCTCCACCAATGTTCTCCTTTTGGGTGTTATGGTTTGCAATAAAGTTTACCTTTTCTTTAAGTTTAATTTTTTTTCTCCAGATACCCATCATGTCCCAGCAATGACATTTTTCTTTTTAAATGTCATCTTTTTTTTCCATCTTTCTTGTTCAGTTTTGGGTCATACCCATTGGCGATTAGGGGACCGTGTGCTGGTGATTGAATCTACCTGGGACTTTTGCCAACACTCCAACTCTTTGGGGCTCCCCAGGCTTTCTCCTTCACCCCATAAATCTTAACTCACACATGTGGACATTCTCTGAGTAACTGAACAACTTAGTTTTTGTTTGTTTGTTATATGACTTGCAAGAATTGTTAATCTAAAACCTCTTGATATAGTTTCAATTTTTAACCATGAAAGTTCAATTCACTTGAGGAGGATGACTCATGTCCTCAAAGCAACTGTCTTGTTACAGTCACAATATTACAGGATTTTACAGAGAAGGAAAGGCAAGTTACAGACTGGTAGATGCCAGGGTAATCAATAAATTCAGGGACTGGTCTCTGAGGTACACTTCTAGTATGACTGTCAATAAATATTTCTGATTAAAGTTTCCCTCCTCTTCTCCTGTAGGAAAAGATAGAGGACATTCTTGACATTTTTTAACCACCCCTAACCAGACGGGTGTCTTCATTCCTAATATTGAATTTGACACCTAATTTCAATTTCAGATGTTTCCTTTATGACTAAAGCAGTAAGTCAGTCTGCACAGGAGTATTGGTTATGGTACAGTTTGTATTGAGAATAAGTTTTGAGGGCAGGAGGCGAGAACTTGTGTAGAAGATGGATTAAACATTAACAAACTTAATTAAATTAAAATCACATGTGTAAAGATTTGTAACTAGCCCCCACTAGAAATCACAGGTCTGAACCCCAGAGTAGATTATTAAATGCCAGATTGGAATGTGCCGTAGGTGAGCAGGTAACTTATTCTGACACCGCAATCTGCTTCTGACTTGTTTAATGGGGGGGCAGTAATTAGGCCCTGTAATTTGCACAGAATTTTCTAGTTATTGCCCAGTCCTTTGGCAATGAGACTTATAGGGAAAAGATTAGCAAATGTTGATAGGAAGCCCTTGGAAAATATAAAGTGCAATAGAAATTCCAGTGGCTAATAATAATTATAAAATGTTATGTTTTGAAAACTCAAGCATGAAATCACTCCTGTTGCCATCTTTCCTCTGGATGGGATAAAGCAAATTAAACGAGACTGAAAGAGAAAGCTTGAGGGCATCGTTATTGTAGTACATGTTTGTCATAGTGTCCAAGACTATGTCATTTAAAGGAAAGAAAGCCAGGAACTTGCAAGTGTCCTGTTGTTTACATCAGTTGTTCTATTTCTAATCTTTTTAAAAAAATTATTACTATTGCAGCAACTGGAAAATCACATTGATATTTATGAGTTTTGCAAAGTTGATAAACCATCTCTTACTGTCCAGAATCCTCCTCACTGTCATTACATCACTTCTTGTTCTCTTCATCTCTCCCCAACCCCTTCCATAAGCAATTTTCTTTAATGTTTATTTATTTGAGGGTCACACTCAGTTGTGCTCAGGATACTATTGGCTCTCTGCTCAGGGATCACTCCTGCAGGGCTCTGGGAATCATGTGGTGTCAGAAGTTAAACAAGTCAGCTGCGTGCTAGAAAAGTGCCTTACCCATGTACTATCTCTAGGCTACTTGTCTTTAACACATTGACATCATTGGTGGCTCACACTTGAATGTGGTTTGCAGTGCCTGCATCAGTGTTTTAAAGTTTCACTCGAGTACTGAGGCTGGAGTGATAGCACAGCAGGTAGGGCATTTGCCTCGCACACAGCTGACCCGGGTTCAATCCCCAGCATCACATATAGTCCTCTGAGCACCACCAGGAGTCATTCCTGAGTGCAAAGCCATGAGTAACCCCTGTGCATCATGAGGTGTGATCCAAAAAGCAAAAAATTAATTAATTAATTAATTAAAAAATAAATAAAGTTTCACTCGAATAGACCGAACACGATGGCCACTCAATGCCTCTATTGCAAACCACAACACCCTAGAGGAAAGAGAGAGCAAAAGGGAATGCCCTGCCATAGAGGTGGGATGGGGTGGGGGGAGATTGGGGTGGTGGGAGGGCAACTGGATTGATTGGTGGTAGAGAATAGGCACTGGTGGAGGGATGGGTACTTGATCATTGTATAACTGAAACCCAAACCCAAAAGTTTGTAAGTCTACAACTGTGCCTCATGGTGTCTCACTAAAAAAAAAAAAAAGTCACTTTCTCTTCTCTGTGTTCTCCCTACCAACCTGGGTCTCTTTCAGGCATCTAGTCATTTCTGGTAGATGTGTTGCTTTATTAGTTGAAAGGTCTGTCTCCCTGGCTAGAGTTTGGAAGAGACAGGAAGAGCCAGATTTATATCATCGTTTGAATTTCAGTTGTTGAGGCTAATGCTTGGCACATACTTGGAAATTCTTACATGTTTTTATTACACTTAAATAGGATGGAAATCAGAGAAATTTATATGAAGTTGAAATTATGATGGAATTCCAATAATAGAGAAAACTTCACATGTTGATTCTGATGAAAGATTATAGATTTTTTCTTTATTTTGAGGAAGAATTTTTAAGCCTCTTATATCTAATTTTTTTTTAACAGATATGCTATGACCGTTTGGTACTTTGATGCTGAAGAAAGAGCAGAAGCCAAGAAGAAATTCAGGAATTTAACTAGTATGTGTTTTAATAAACTTTTGTGACTTTAGAACAAATTTATCCATGACTTTTGTTCACAATTTTTATGTGTATTCTTATATACTCTTTGGTTCCAAGTATAGTATGACTTGATGTCAGATGCATAAATATCTTGATGTGCTTAATCCTGTAAAACCCCATCTTAGCTTTGCAAAGAAAAAAAATAGAAGAAAATGTTAAGGACATTACATGATGGATTATACCTGATGAGAAAGTTATATTGTTAATGGTTTGTTGAACATAACATATACTTACACATGGTTTGGGCACGTTATAAAGGAGATATGATAAAGACCAGATCTACTTAATTTTTAATGTTGGTGTAGTATATGCCTCAGTATAAAAATTGGGCTATGTAATAGAAATCTGAATATGACTTAACATTATTCCTGTGTTATTCTGGCCAGAATGTAAGGCAATGTCGCTCAAAATACGTTGCATTGAGAGGTCTGATCCTTTAGACTGACTTGTGAAAAGGTAAATTTTCTGGCCCCGCAAATGTGTGAACTGTTGCGGACCATGTTCTTCTCTTGAAAACTCAGTATTCATTGGCACAGGAGTGCAGAAAAATTAATTTATAAAATTCTGCAATGGATGTATTGTAATATTGCATAACTCATGACCAATTGGGTTATCTACTGTCAGTCACAATCACAGTCACAGTCCTCCCATTGTTCATCGATTTGCTTGAGTGGCCCCAGTAACGTCCCCATCGTTAGACTTGTTGTTACTGTGTTTGCATATTGAATACATCACGGGTACTTTGCCAGGCTTTGCCGTGTGGGCCAGATACTCTTGGTAGCTTGCCGGGCTCTACTGTCAGATACCAAAGAAAACACATGTGCAAATCTCTAACAGGAAGCAGTCCACCCAACTTTATTATGTAAGATGGGAAATATTGATTAGAAGATCTTTTGGTGACCCTTGTAACATTAATCAGATCTGATCCATTGCCTTCTTTACTCTTTTCTGTCCCCAACCCAGGGAAATCTGAATCTGCCCTCACTGAAGATTGACTGTGCTGGAAAGTATACAGGCCTTACTCATTTTAGCAATGGTTCTTGAATTTTTTAAGCTTTGAGTTCCAAAAATGGCCTCTTCTATGACTCGAACTTCCCCTCACTGCTTGCATTGATCACATCCCTGTCTTGCCTATGGTACTTTGTGGTTTTTTTTTTTTTTTGACAAGACTACATCAGTCTTCAGATACTGTCTTAGCCAGATGGACTCATTTGCCAACTCCAGAAATACCTGCAGATGATCTACCTGGCTGGTGGTTTAACTGATAGATTGGGTGATGCTGGCTCTCCAAAACAAGAGCCCAGAAGCATGGGCGAGGGAATGACTCTTATTTGCACTTTATCTATGATTCCTGAATTGAAACACGGAGGTTGCAGAAGAAGAAGAAGAAGAAGAAGAAGAAGAAGAAGAAGAAAAAAACAACTGGTGACACATGTTACAGAGAGATTGCATTAAAGCTTTCACAGCAGGAAACCAATTTGTGTCATCGGAACAATTTCCAGATGTTCTTTCTCCAGGGTTTGTGGGGATTCTGGAGAATTATCACAACTTAATGACATTATTACCTCTAGAAAGGGCTGCTGTCATAGTCATCAATTATAAGTGTCCGGTGGGGTGGACACTCCTTATTCCTGGTATGCTACCTGGACTTTCTGCCTCTGCCCCATGTTGCTGAAAATAGGACTTTTGATTAAAGCTGACAACACCATTTATTCTCGATTTTCACTTCATATTGGAGAACCTAATTCCCCAGAGATTAAACTAGACATTAATTATCTTGGTTGCCTTGTTGAAATGGAATTTGAATTTAAATCCAAGGGGCTGGGTTTGAGTAAAGGAATCTGCCCAGTAGATTAGAGTCAACAACCTGTGATAATGGTTTTGAAAGATGAGGATCTGCACATACACAGTACAGGTAGGGGATGGTGAACAGCAGAGGGGATGGAGATGTAAATGTGGGCATTCCCATTTTTTCAGTTTTTCTTTTTAATGAACCCACCCTTCTTCTTTAGGAAAATACAACAAGAAAAACTGCAGGATGTATTTTTAAAAGGAAATGGGAATAAAATGAAACTAAATTCTGAATAAAGTTGTTGGTGTGATTTTCTTGTCTGTCTCTAGCGGCCTCTCTCCAGCCCCAGTGTGGTCAGCTTGGGCAAGAATCATGACACTTGCTAGAACCCTGGAAGGCACTACCTCTGTAGTTAGCACAGATGGTGCTGCCTCAAGGCCTCAGTACTGAGCCCAAATTTTTGGATAATTACTGTTCCTAGTTTTCAGTACCACAGAAGATTTTGGAATCCTTTTATTTCTTGCTAAAAACATGTCTTTTGATCATTTACAGATAGGTAGAATTTCTAGGAAGGAAGTTTACATGTTGCATCCTTGTTTGCTTGCTTGTTTGCTTTTGCAATGACTTTTTTATGTGGGGGGGGGGCTCTAGGGAGGGCACACCACTTGATGTTCAGGGGCTACTCCTGACTTTGCACTCAGGAATTACTTCTGGCAAAGCTCAGGATTGTGCGAGATTCTGGGGATTGAACTAGGGTTGACGACATGCAAGGCAAGTGCCCTACCTGCTGAGTATCTTTCTGGCTCCATCACAATGCCCTTTAAAAAAAACATAGTGCTTAATATTTTACTATGTGATTTACTTATTTATTATGTTTTTTTTTTTATCTTATGTCATTCCTCTCTGTGCTTTTCTCTTCTGGGAGCAGGGTTTTATAGTCTCTGGATCTTGGCCATTGATGGGATTACATGGCATCGGGGGCAGTTGGTGGGTGTAATGCCTGGAAGATGGGGGATCTGGGTGGAGGAGGCCCCAGTCCCAATCTGAGCAGGCTTGGAGATCTACACCCCAGGTCCCACACACCTGGGTTCTTCTACTGGTTCCTTCATGCGTGAGGCTCATCCGAATGTGTGGAGAATGGTCTTGAGCATGGCTTTGGCTGGAACCGGAGGTCTTCAGCTGCCGGGGCTCTGCTTGGGGCCCACCCTCCTCCAAGGGGCCCCAGTGAGGACAGCCAGGCACGGAGGCAGGAGACTGTGCTGTTCTCTTCCGGGAGCAGGGTTTTATAGTCTCTGGGTCTTGGCTGTTGATGGGATTACACACCTCCATGCCTGGCTGTCCTCACTGGGACCCCTTGGAGGAGGGTGGGTTGAGTTCCCCTCCCCACCCTGAGCAGAGCCCCGGCAGCTGAATACCTCCGGTTCTAGCCACAGCCATGCTTAAGACCACTCTCAACACATTTGGACAAGCCTCACGCATGAAGGAACCAGCAGAGGAACCCAGGCATGCAGGTCCTGGGGCTGAGATCTCCAAGCCTGCTCGGATTGGGAATGGGCCTCCTCCACCCAGATTCTCCATCTTCCAGTATGTAGACATTACACTCACCAACTGCCCCTGGCGCCGTGTAATCCCATCAACGGCCAAGACCCAGGGACTATAAAACCCAGTTCTTGGATGCGCGCGGCTGCATTTGTGGCTGCGCGACATCTTATTATCTAGGACTTACTCTGGAGAACCTGGCAGGCTACCAAAAGTATCCTGCCCACACGGCAGAGTCTGGCAAACTCCCCATGGCATATTCAATATGCCAAAAACCAGTAACAATGATGGGTCTCATTCTCCTGACCCTAAAAGAGCCTCGAATGTGGCACTTTTTAAAATAGCAGGGCTAGGACGAAGGAGATGTTACTGGGGCCTGCTCAAGGCAATCGATGACCAACAGGATGACAGTGATACAGTCCTTTCTCACACAAAAAAGATAGGATGTTTGTCTTTTTAATCTATATAATATATTCCCAGAACCTACAACCATACCTGGCATATAGTTAAGGATTCAGTAGAAATTTATTGATTAACAAGTTGAATATCATAATGCTTTCGTGGTTTGATTAATTTCCAACATCTTTGTCAGGAATGACTTGCAAGAATCTTTTTATGCATATCTTTCTCTCATTGACATAAATTTAGACTATGTACTATTTTTTTTTAAGTTTTGGTTGTATACAGAGTCAGCAACACTGAAAACAAGCGGTCCAAACTTCAATAACCAAACTTCAAAATGTGCTTGTCAAGGTGAAGAGCTAGGGATGGGGAGTGGATTGGTGTGTGTGTGTCGGGGTGGGGGGCGGTGCGGGGCGAGTACCTCAGAATCCTGGTTGAGGGAAGACACTGGTGGGACTGGTGCTGGACATACTATGTCTAAAAGCAAATATGAATAACTAAAATAATTTTTAATTGTTGGTTATAGAATTACTTCATCATTGTTTACCTGTTTGAATAGCTCATTGGCCACTCTGCGCCTGCAAAATGAACAAAGAATTTTGCCCTCAATCTCCCGGGACATTGGAGTTAATACAAGAAGCTTCAGCTAAGATGGAGGACATTCCTACTTTGGAACAATATGGAAAAATATATGTAATTTAAGTTTTTTTGTATGGGAGCCACACCCTGTCATATTCAGAGGTTACTCCTGACTTTTTGTTCTGGAGTGACCCCTGGTGGTGCTTTTAGAGGGCTTTATATGGTGCCAGAGATTCAAACTGGGTGGGCCTTATGCAAGGTAAGTGCCTTAATCCCTGAGGTATCTCTCTGGCCCATATAGCTTGTTTTCCTCCATGATTACTCAATGCATAATGTATTGAGAATGAAATGATAATATTTTGAAGGAATATATTATGCCATTCTAGTAAGTATGTATTGTATCTTTCAGTCAATATTTTGATTTGCCAAAATATCTGACCTCTAAACCTTATTCCATACAGGAAAAAAAAAGTCCTGTAAACTTTATAAAAAAATTTTTTTTAATGCACTGATTTTTCATGGCTGAATTTGAGTCCTGGAAGATTAACTTGGAAAATGCACTATAATAGTTTCTGCTTTATTGCTCATCACTTTGACAGCCCACTTAGGAGAGGACTTAGCCCTGCAGAAGAAACATTATTTGGCAAATAATCTGATCAATTTCCTTTATATTCCTGGCAATGAAATGTTAAGAGCCTACCTCAATGTTACGTCATCTATAGCGCACAGAGTTCTGGGCAGGAGATTAAATTTTGAAGCAAAGATCCAATTTCATGGAAATAAAAAGTCTTACCTAAGTGCATTAAATACATCTTTAGTAGAGTAGTTAATACCAATTAAATGCTGGGCTGTCTGAAACATGAATTATCCATTTAGACATGATTTTGTTTTTCTTTAAATGACTCAGACTCTTTAGAGGCTGGGTCCTAATTTCTTTTGGTCATTCAGTCTTGAAATTTCCTGTGTTTTATAAAGCATTGATGGGGAATTCTAGCTGGGTCAGCAGTTTTTATAAAACTGGAGTTTGGGCATGTCAGGGGCTCTTATATTTTATCAACTGTGAGCACAAGCACAAAGGATGTTCTTAGTAAAGTTATTTTAAATAAAAATAATGCAAAGCTGAGCTCCAGTCTTGAATTGTTGGAATGCCATGAGAAGACTGGTTAGTGAGGTAGATAGAGGCTATTGCCTCAAAATAGAGTGGAAATAAGTAGCTCTACTCAAAATGAAGTTGGCTGTGATTGAACTCTGTTGGATAATAACCTGTTGGTTTTTCTTTTAAAGACTCAATTTACTTTTAAACCCAATTTACTTCCTTACATGTATGATTTTACTATGCCGTTGCCTCACTGGGAATTTTCAGACTGGTTCTCATGGCCTCTCACCTTCCCATGTCACAGACAGAGTCAAGCCAGAAATCATTTGGAATCCTTTAGTGATAAGTTGATGCCTTCAAAGCCAGGTTTGTGCTTCCTGCTCTTATGTGGTTATTCTTCGTCACTGCAAAGAGACCAGTTCTTACTGACGAGAAGCATATTCAGAGCAGTTAGGTGAGTTGCCAAAGGTTACAACAGGTGATGGAGTAGCATGCCAGCATTCGGAGATTTCCACCTCCGCATGTTTGTTGTCTTGGTGTCTCCTTCCTGCATTGGAGATGCCAAACAAAGAGCAAGACAGAATGAGTGGTGCTGAGACAGGTGAACTTGAAAGGCTTGCTGCTTAAGATTCTTACATAATGTTTGGTTATCAAAAAGGGTCTCATGCTTAGTCACCAAAGGAATGTCAATTGTTTAATTAACACCACACGAGCAGAAAATAACTTCACAGTTGAATCCTCCCATGAATTTGCCCTGGGATCTTTTCCACTTGCCTTGCAGGATTGTGGAGGATAGATGTGTAACGTTGTCCTCTTGGGCTGATGATGGGCGTGGGCTCCATTGGGCATGCTGGCACCTGCAGAGACGAGTAGGTCATCTGGAAGCAAAACCAGGGTGAGATTTCCTGAGTACTGTTAGGAGTCATCTAGACCATGGCTCACTGCACCTTCAGGCTGTGTGTGAGGTGTTATATTCATGCCCCTATGTCCT